GTGTACATGTATGGATGCATGCATGCATGCATGCATGCACGTACGTACGTACGTACGTACGAATGTACGTATGCACGTATGTATGTATGCATGTAGGTTTTTTTCACATTCGTAAATAGGTGCCAAGGAGGAGGAGAGGCAGGTGGAAGTGGATGGGAATGATGAGGCCGATCAGGAGGACGAAGAGGACGATGAGTGAGGCGGACGATGAAGAAGAGGGTAATGAGGGCGAGGGATCACTTGAAAAAGGAGGGTATATGAAGTAGCGCCATGAAGCCAGTGAAGGAGATCGTGTGATCGCAGCCTAGTGTAGCGAGTGAGTTCCAGTTTGTATGTGAGTTCCAAAGCAACCCGACGCTTTAGCTTACAGGGGGAGCGGCTCGTTCCAGATATTAGAGTTAGTAGCAGCAGGGGGTGGAGAAGGACCCGTCGATGTTCAGGTATTTATTCCTTGCGACCGTGGGACCTTGCCCCGTCCAGTGCGCGCGTTGGGGGGAGCGGCCCAGCCAGGATCGTAAGTATGCCGATGGCCTTTATGCGTCTCTTGTGCCCTCTGCTGGTTTGGCCTGTGTGCCCACACATCGCTTCGCCTTTGCCCCCACTTCTCAGCAACTCAATGCGAGAACCTCGTGCACGGCAGGTTCGTGTTGTGTCGCCGCGGCGGTGACCTCAGCGCAGTGGTTTGAGGCTGAACGTCACCAGTGGCGCAGAGTCGGCCGATGTCGAATGACCTCAGCTATCGAAACGTCGCGATCCTTCAAGGTTGAACGACCCACGCGGTTCCAGAGACCAACGCGCAAGACGTCGCGACACGAGCCTGTCGTGCAGCCAAGTCGCTGAAGTAAGGACCGCTCTGGGCTCAGGAGGGGTCTTGGTTTTCGGGCCTTCCCTTACACTTAGGTCGGGGAACCTGTTCGTGGCTTAGGCTCGCCGTTGCCAGAAGAGGTCCTTTTCGCTCCTTGTTCGGCGTCCCTTCTGGCAGCATGATGACTGTATAGTCTGTCGCTGATCTCTCACCCCCGTCCTCGGTGGGCATGCTGACCTTCATGCTCGCGGTCTCCTCGGCGAGCGCGCCGAAGATGAGAAGCCTCGCGCAGGAGGCGCAGGCGACCCCGGGGCCAGACGGACCAGCCTGCTTCTGCGGTCGCTGTGGTTCGTTTTCGGTTCGATTCGAGTCGATTCGGTTTCGAGCTCCACTGGGCTCGATCCGATCCGCTTAGATGTTCTGATCGAGTAAAAAGCGGGGCAGTCATGAACTGTCGGAGGTCCGCGTTGATCTTCGACCTTTTCTGTGCATGCAGTTTGTACAGACAGAAGAGCCAGAGGTTTCTAAAAAAGATTGTTGGAAGCGGGGAGGGCTTCTGAGAAGCTCCAGTGCCTTCTAGAATGCCTCGTCGCCACTCCAACATTTTGATGCTATGTCTTATGTGTGCGCGCCTCCAAATCTTATAGTCTAAGCCCTGTGGCGGGCTCTTTCTGGCCGTACCGCTCGGGAAAAGATCTTTTGCAAGATGGCTGTATTACATGTTCGGCTCGGACGCACGCCTCCAAAGAGGACAGACATCCTTGGGCGTCCCACCCACTGCCTTCTTCGAAGGCCGCCCCACTCGTCCGCCAGCCGGCATCGCCTGGGCTTCGCTGTGGCGGCCGCGCGCTCTCGCGGGCTCGGCGCAGCTGGGCAGCTGGACGGACGCTCCCGGTGGCGGGCGAGGGCCGTTGGCGGCGGTCCTCCTGCTCCTCATTCGTCCTCCTCCTCCTCCTCCTCCTCGTCCTCCTCCCTCCGCCCGCGTCCTCAGCTTCGAGCTGGTGGCACGTGTATCCGTCGAATGCTGCCCAGAACCCCCTCGGCGGACATCGTCGCTGAGGGGGTTTAACAAGAAACGCAATACAAAGAAGACAACTCATGGTAGCAACAAGTGAAAACATATTACTACTACTACCACCACTACTACTTCTACTGCTACTACTACTACAACTCCTACTACAACTCCAACTGCAACTCCTCCTCCTCCTCCTCCTACCACTACTACTACTACTACTACCACTACTACTACTACTACTACTGCTACTATTACTACTACTACTACTACTACTACTACTACTACAACTACTACTACTACTACCACTACTAGTACCACTACTACTACTACTACTACTACTACTACTACTTCTACTACTACTACTACTACTACTACTACTACTACTACTATTGATTATACGAATACGATCACCACTACTACTACTATTACTACTACTACTACTACTACTACTACTACTACTACTACTATTATTACCACTACTACTTATACTGAAACTCCTACTGCTACTATTTCTATTTCTATTTCTTCTACTACTACTACTACCATTACTACTACTATTTCTACTTCTACTACTACTACTACCACTACTACTACTACTACTACTACTACTACTACTACTAATACAACTCCTACTACTACTACTACTACTACTACTACTACTATTTCTACTACTACTACTACTGCAACTCCTCCTACTACTACTTCTACTACTACTACCACGACTACTACTACTACTACTACTACGACGACGACGACTACTATTACGACTACTACCAACCAATACTTCTCTTATTATGAACCAGAACAACCAGCATACCAATAAGGGGTCGAGTACGGATACGACGAATAATAGTACGAATGCTCATACTTCGATTGCTCGTAGCAATGCGAAAAGTATACCAACAAGAAAACAACTGCGAATCATATGAACAATACTCGTACGAATAATCATACGAAACAGGAACAACATCATTTAATCAAGAAAAAGGAGAAGTGGCCCCGTCCTCTGGGCGCCGTGCGTTGCACAGGCGAGGCTGGGCCACAGGCTTACTCCGCTCCAGCTCCTCCTCCTCCTCCTCCTCCTCCTCCTCCTCCTCCCTCCTCCAGGCACACGGTGCGGCAGGTTCGCGCCGCGTCGACACGGCTGCGGCCACGGTGCGGGCGTTCCATGCCGAATGCTGCGGGTGGCGCAGACGAGGCTGACATCGAAAGATCTGCGCCATCGGAGGACCGCGGTTGTTCGAGGTTGAATGGTCCGCGCGGTGTCATGAACCAACGCGCAAGTCGTCACGACACGAACTTGCGGTACACTGGAAGCAAGGGCTCCAGCTTCCAGGTCCATAGTCCCTCTCCCCTCATCGCTCTGTCTTCTCCGATGTTCGAATTCTTTGTGTTCGTCGGGCTTGCTGGGGTCCCTGCATCATTTTGAATTGTGATTGCTTTGCATTGCATCTATTTTGCTTGGTGCTTCAAATTGGTTTGTTGGATTAGCAATTCATTGCAGTGCAATTGCATTAGCTTTCCATGGCAATGCTTACATTGCAGTGCCACTGCAATGTGTTGCACTCGTTTCACAGCTTTGTGCTGCTTTGCACTGCGTCGCAGTGAATCTGCGCGGGTCTACGATTTTCGGCAGTACATCTTTACCCTGTCGGCGTTATTGAAGGTCCTTGACCCCACTCTCATGCCTTTTGTGGGTACGCACGCCCGTGTAGCTGTGAGCCTGTGAAGGGCTGAGGCTTGCTAGTACCTGAGCGTGCGCAAGCTGGCGCTGTAATAGTATTCACGCGTATCTGTTTGAGTTCACGGCCCTTAGGGTTTGTCGCGATCTGATTCGATCTGATCTGACACGAACCGATTTCGTCGTCGGCCTGCAGGGGCCGAGTCAGATCCACGATTTCAAGTAATCCGATCCCGATCCGATTCAAGGTCGATCTTCGCGCGGTCCTATCCATTTTGGATCCGATCCGTTTCCACGATTCGATCCGGCTCAGGCCTGCCTCCTGCTCCCCCTCCTTACGAACCCCGCTCCCGCCTTATTCCCCTTCGTGACAAAATGTTCGTGCGCTGAAGAGTACATCGTTTTTCAGACATCGTGGGGCCACGGTGAAGCTGGCGCTCCGGCGCCACTGTCGTGCTTTTCATTGGTTGGCATGAAGCAAGCGGGTCATGAGGAACAAGGCCCTAGAGTTTTTTACCGTTCTCGGGCTGTTGGGGCCTTCCATGGGCCCCAGGACAGTAGCAAAAACGACCTCAGGATGAAAAGCCTCAGGGCTCCAGGACCGGCTTTTCTCTCGGCCTCCTGCCCCCTCGGGTGGGGGAAGTCCGTGGCGCGAGCGCCGCCCGCCAGGCGAGAGAGCTGACCGCTCTGCGGCAGCTGCTCCCGCTCGCCCGCGAGCTCCTGGGTGCGCAGGCCGCTGCGCCGCCCGGCTTGCACCAGGTTCGCGTCCTGTCAGCGGCCCCAGCCCTTGCTCCTCCTCCTCCTCCTCCTCCTCCTCCTCCTCCCTCCCTCCTGCCCAGCGGTGATGACCAGGTGCCAGACGACGTGCTCGTGCACAGGTCTGCAATGATCTAGAGGTTTGATCAGCCTGATGGGAAGGGCAATTGTTACTTGAGCTACGGGCTGCTGCCCTTACCGTCTTTTCCTGAACAGCCGAAAGACTGCTATCCTGTCCTGGGGTGGTTTAACTGGCGGGGTGAGCGGGGGTGGACGGTGTTTACTGATGGGTCTTGCCAAGCCTCGTCACTGCCAGGCCTCACCAGGTGCGGGTGGTCCGTTGTGGAGATGGGCCCCTCTGGAATACCAGTGCGCGCTATTTACGGGGCTTTGCCAGGCCAGGTTCAGACAGTTCCGAGCTCAGAAAATTTCGCAGCATCCAAGGCCGTGGAGGTTGCTGCCAAGCCTGCTAATATAACCATCGACCAGCTCAAACTCGTGAGAGATGGACAAGCGTGGTGGTCCACCGCGGGAGAGTCTCGGTCAAAGCATGCTGCCATCTGGAGGAATCTGCTGACGCTCCGTGCCAATCAGGACCCCCTGGGTTCGAGTGGGTCCCAGCTCATAGGCAGTTCGAGAATCTGTTTGGCAGTGGCGACTGTGATGCCTTTCGGATTTTGGGTCAGTGACTGGGCGGCTGTTTCAGTCAAGGCTGGGGCCCACTGCCACGCTGTCGCTAAGGTCTTGCAAAACGTCCACTCTGCTAGCCTCAAGAGTGCCATGAAGGATACTAAGGTGCTCGCCTGGATTCAGTCGGCCGCTAGGTTGCCTGGTGCACTGGGTCCCTGGAGTGAGACCCCGCAGGTGCAGAAGGGCCCCAGAGCTATGCCTCCAATTGAATTCATGGAAAACAGTTTCTGTTTTGTTAGAGGTTGTCCGAGCATGGGAGTTGAAGGGGACAGTCAATTAGCCCTTATTTCTTTCTCTGTGCGTTCCGTTGCCTCTGGGCTCAGACCAATCAGCCAAAGAAATTGCAAAGCAAATTGCAACGTTGTTTGCAAACCATATTTCTTGTTTATCTGGTTTCCACTTTTCTTTACATCTTGATTATCATTATCAATGTTGTCCTTCTCTCGAGCGGTCCCTGGCGCTCGAACTCCGGGCAGCGGAGCGGGCATTGAACAGTTCTTGCTCCGTTGCCGGGCTGGGCATTGAAAAGTGCCTCGCCCGTCAACGCGAAAATCCACGGTTAGATCTATTTGAAGGCCCTGCATGGGCAAGAAACGTCAACACGGAGCTAACACAAAAAAGACTCGAGGTCGAGTACGAGCGGGCCACGCGGACCTGCAGTTGCCCACCTTGGGAACCTCACTCGGAAGCCTGCCGCTGGCAGGTCAAACTGACGACATGATTCTTGTTCAAGGAAGAGCCCGAGCCTTTACCTTCACCACCGAGGTCTGCGACACCAGACTGGTCACGTTCGATTTCTCCACCGCCACTGGCTTTCTTCACCACTGAGAAGAATGACGGCGACTCCAGGCGCGCGCCGCGCGACGAGCAGACAGCCTCACCTGTATGGCGCCCAGCTGTTGAACCTGTAAAGAACAGCTGTGGCCACCGCGGAGATCTCTCCATGGTGGTCACCAGAGCTGGAAGCGTACCCGGCCTACCCGTGCAGCGTGGCAGATTGGAGCAGATACGCGAGGAGGTGGCCAGCCGCGACGAAGCTCACAGCCGAACGACAAGGACCACTCCTTTCACTAGCTATGGGAGCAGCCGCGCGCACGGTAGCAGACGAGATCCCCGTCCACGCGTTGCAGCGCAGAGCAGAAGTGGACATAAGGGGGCGGCGCTGGCGTGCGTGGGCACGCGGGCGTCGACATTCTGCTGTCCATCCTGCGTTCCAAGTTCCCGCCATATGCCGAGGCTTGGACGGTGCGAACAGGCCTGGGCGTCTTCACTTTTCACGCCAGCTCGTGATGCATATCTCAGGTCCATGCTTTTGCGCTTTGACGTGCTCCTGGGCCGCGCGAGGGCCGCCGTCGCACTCGGGATTCGCGTCCCGTTCCGCGCCTGGATGTTGTTGAGTTTGCTGCGGCTCCCTGCTCGGAAATGGGCGGGCGTCAGATGGAAGACGGCAGGGGGCTCCCGCGAACGGAGGCGGAGTACTTCGAGTTGAAGCAGCGTCCCCTCCGGCAAATCCAACTAGCCAGGGGCCCACCGCCCCGCGGAAACCAGGACGTCTACTACGACGTGGGGTAGGCGGCAAACGACGACGACAGTGTCAGCGAAGGCGGGTGGGGCACCGACGCAGAGTGGTGGGACAGGGGGGCGTCGGAGGGCCCTTGGTCCCAGGAACGCATGGGCGCCGAGCGGCAGGCTGCCCTCGATGATCCGCGCAACTTGACGTCAGTTGGGTGGGGGGCCAGGAAGACAGAGCGGCGTTGCCGCGCCGCGGCGGGCCGCTTCGGACCGAAGCGCCAGGCTCGCGCGAGGCGATTCGGGGCCACGAGGTGCGCCCCGCTCGGGCCTCCGAGGCGCGCGGGCGGCAAGACGCAGGAGTTCCCCTTTGTCCACGATGCCTTTGCGGTGCTGGAGCGCGTCCCTGACGACGACATCAGAGTGTTCTTCGAGGGCAGGGGCTGGTGCGACAAGAGCCGCGTGAAGAGGGGGCCGCGCAGGGCCGCGAGGTGCCGCGGGCGCGGCGGGCCTGGGCGCCCGGCCGGGGGGCGCCGCGGTCGTGAAACCTTTGCTTCAAGTGCGAGAAGCCGGGCGGGCCGTGTCGCGAAGGGCCCCAGCGCCCGCGGGCGCACCAGGAGGAGGGCCGCGAGGGCCAGGGGGGCGCGACGACGACAGCGACGCGATGACGACGAAGCTGCCGCGTGCCGCGCCCAGAGGCGCGGCGTGAGGAGATGGGGGCTTGCCTGGGGGGCTCAGCTCGGGCCAGGGCAGGGGTGGGATAGACGTGTTCCCTCCGCGCCGACGCCGTCAGTCACGGCGCCGCCGCCGGCGCGAGAGGAGGATGGAAATGGCCCCTCTCCAGCGCCCGTCGCCGCCTTCAGCGCCAGCGATGTGGGCTTCGTCCAGAGGCAGCTGGGCGTGCCGCCAAAATCGACATCGTTATCCATCCTTCCGCAACCTCCGCCCTGCCCGAATCCGGCGCCAGTCCCTGGGCCGATCGTTGCGTCGACAGGTGTGTCTGCGCCGACAGTGTCAGCGTTGCCAGGGCCAGCCTCGCCCAGCGCGCCTGGGCCGACTGGGGTCGGGCCAGGGGGGGGGCCGGGGGGGCGGGCCGGAGACCGGAGGGAGGGCCTGGAGAAAGAGGGGCGGGGAGAGGACGAGAAGGAGGACTGGGGGCGCCAGGAGGAGGGTCGTCAGCGTCGACCTACGCAATTGCGACCGCCGTGTTCGGAGCGACACCAGCCATCTCATGGGGGGATTGCCGGGGCCATCTGCGGGGGCTGTGCGTCGGGCTCGCCGCAGGCGCGCAAGGCATTTGCGACGTGGGCGCGCGCGGCGCTGCCGACGCCAGCGCCCGGGGCATGTTCGACATCGGCGCGCGCGGCGCTGCTGGGGCCGGCGTGCGCGGCGCTGCCGGCGCCGGCGCGCCGGGCGTACTCGACGCTGGCGCGCGCAATTCTTCCGACGCCAGCGCGCGCGGCGTTGTCGGAGTCGGCGCGCGAGCATGTATCCCGCGCGCTCTCGCGAGGCGGCGTCGACGGTGGGCCGCGTCGGGCGCCGTGCGACAGCGCCCTGGGGAAATCCGACGGGAGCTCAGGGGGGGCTCTGCGACTGCGCCCGGCGTGAGTTCAGCGGCAGTTTACGGGGCGAATCTTGGAGTCGCAATTGCCCGCGCCATCTCCGACGGCAGGTCGCTCCAATGCCTGGGCGTCGATGGGCGCGCGCGTCCGGGGCGGGCAGTTACAGGCGGCGTCCCAGCCGTCCCCCCCGGCGCCGGGTGACAGCAGCAACGCTGACTTCTCGCCTCTGCCATCCATGAGTCCATTGGCGAGTTTAACCGTCAATCGGAAGAAACCGCCGAACGCGATCGAGCTTCGTCCGAGTATCTCACGCGGAGCGCCCGTCGCGATCTCGTGCGGGGCAGCATCCAGGGGGCAGGGGGGATTCGTTCCGTGTCGCCACTGGGCAAACGGAAGTTGCATTCGACATGGCCGCGACAGAGCTTGCGCCGGGTGAGGGCTCCGACGGCGCCCCATGGATGGGCCCCGAGGCTGGCGCTGACGCCCATCAACTTCGAGATCTGTTGCTATTGCATAAACAATTTTTTCATGGGGTTTGGGGGGTAATGTGGAGGTCAACTAACAACAACACGTGCAACCACGAAGTGTCCGCGAGCTTTCGGAAGCCAGGGCCAGGTTGACAACGGCGATCGCCGGAACCTCGCAGGCAGGAAACTCATCGACCGTCAGAGTAAGGTTGGGCGCCGGCGCGGATTCAAGACAGCTTGGGCCACGTTGGATTAGCCGCGGAAGATCAGCGGGGCGGAGGAGGGGGCCCAGACTGCACGACGTGCAGCCATAGTGCATAAAGCCAGCGGAGAGGGCGACCTCATCACCCATCCTGCCCCAGTCTTGGATGAGGAGGAGGGGTCCGACGTCCCTGCCTCATGCTGGCTCGAGGCACCGATGGCCAGGTCACCTGGCCGGGCGGCGCTAAAACCATAGGGTGCCAGAAGTCGAGATCAGGACATCGGATGATGCCGATCTTCACGTGGCGCGAACTCCAGGCGGGCAGCAGGGCGGTCGAGACCTTTTCCGACGTGCGTCGGGGTGCCTCAACAATCTTGACAAACGCCGCCGCTGGATGCAGACGGTGGCCAGTATCCAGCAAACGAAAAACAACGGGCCACCGATCTCGCAGCCAACAGACATGTTGGCCGCGCGACCGCCCGCAGCAGACCCTGCGAGCCCGCGGAAAATTGGGGAGATTTCCGATGGACCGCCAGCGCGAAGCAACGCGCCGAACATATTCTTGGTCGGGGAACGTCTGCCAACGGTGGAATGACGATGACTAAATTCGATCTCTTTCCATCCAGAACGTGCTCTGTGCTTCCAGTCCAACGGGGGCGTGCGTTGCCAGACGCTTGCGCAGTGCTTCAGGCTATTCATGTGACCCGACCGCGGCCTCTGCGGATCGGTGGCCATGCCTATTGCAGGAGCCAGGGCGGCGACCGCAGGCGCGCGCGGCCCTGGAGATCCCCCCAGGATAGTGGGGCAGCAATTGGAGTTCGGAGGGGGCGTTTGACTGGGAGCTAAAGCGTGCGGCGTTCCTGCCCGGGGCGGTCTTCTCGCGGGGGCGAAGCGCTTGAGGTCGCACTCGGGGCCGCCAGCTCGAGTGCGTGGGTGCGCTCTGGGAATCGTTGGCGGATCAGACAACTGTGAGTTTGTATGTGGTGAGCAGCCGTGTCAAACCTGCCATGGCAGCGCGCGCTGCGCGTGCGTGGCGCGCATATTTCGACGCGCGTCGAGGAGGGAGGGGAAGCGTGCGAACAGTTTGTGGGCAATTTCTTACAGCGTGTCAGCCTCGTCGACCCCTGGCAACTCAAGCATGCCGGCGCAGAGTTGCACAGCGTCCAGCACCAATTCAAAAAGAGAGCAGGGGCGAGGGATTGCGTCCAGCACCGCCGACAGCGCCAGCCAGCCGCCGATGACAGCCACGACGGAGCGGAAATTGAAAAGCCTCCGCTTCGCCAGGACGGATCACCGCCGCCGACCAAGAAAGTCACTTTCCATGGCGCGCAAGTCTACGTCATCCACGTTGATCAGGCGACGTCCACCGCTGACCTCGACCAGTGGTCCCCGTCCCTATCATCGTCATCATCGCCATCACCTCAGGGCCTCCCTTCCTTTTCAACTGACTCTCGCGAGCGAAAGCGACAAAGGCCCAGCAGGAGATGGGCGAGACGCTGGGGGATATCAAGGCCATGGGGAAGAGTAGTCCACAGGAGCAGGAACCACATTTCAACGATTGCGGCAGTGATCTGGAGCCCGACCCATGTGGGAGCTCTTTCTGGTTCGACAGCAGCAGAAAAGGAAACGTTCCCCAGCTGTGGTCATGCTCTCGCTAGGGACAGCAGTAGTCATCTATTGGATCAAGATTTCTTGTTGAACTACTTGTTGGGCAGTGCTCTTCGCCGTCGGCGCGCAATCAAGTCCAGCGGCGCAGCCGCTAAAGAAGTGACCGTCCGACACGCTCGCGCTGCGCTGCTGCCGCTTCTCGCTGCCAGGCTCGCCCGCATAGTGCAGGTAGCACCCGCCAGTCCACTCGCCATATGCGTCCGCGAGCCAGCGCTTGGCGCTATCGCAGCACATTGGGCGTTCGCCCACCCACTCCCCGCGCTGGGCAGGGCGTGCTGTGCCGCGCCGCTCCAGCGCCGCCGTGGCACCGATGGCAGCTGCGACGCCCTGGGCGCAGGCCTCCCGTGCTTTGGCAAGGCTGGTCCACTCCGAAAAAAAACACTGGGCCCCGCAGGGGCCCGGACAGCTTGATCATGCGATTGCGGGGGAAGACGGGGAGAGAGCAAACAACAGCAGAGGCAAGGCAGGAGGACGGTGGAAGAGACGCCGCGCAAGCGGGGCAAAACATTTCGTTTTTGCGAACGACTAATTCGTTCTCCTCCTCACTTTCATCGCGTCTTCCTTTTCCTTTTTTCTCCTTATCCCCTCTCTTGCCTGTCGCTTCCCCCTAGGATCGGAGAGGTAGGTGCACGTGGGGGGAAAAGGGCGACAGGAAGACCCCGATCACGGTGGGCAGTACGGCCGGGCGGAACGATCACAGCTGGCAGGGCGACGTGCGTGCGAGGTGGACGAGCCTTGGGGTTCCCGCAGACTCGGTATTGTAGCCAAGTTGCCAGCATCTCATGCAATGGCGTTGTGGTGCTGCTTACAGTCAAGACTGGCCTCGTGGATGATCATCTGATGCAAGGTACCCTTTCATCCTTCGATTCTGGGCATTTTGGAAGTGCGTTCTGCTTCCTCGGTCCCAGGCTGTCCTGGCACTTTGGCATGTTCTAGGGGCCTGGCGCCCTTATGCTACATCCTTATGTTTGGTTTGCATAGATCTTTATTCAATCACTTCGCTCATTCCGCCGGCCCGTATTGCGCCATCGTTGGCGTTTGCATGCGCGATCGTCGGCCATGAGGCGCTGCTGGTCGGCGCCGCTGCGTTTGTGGATGAAAGTCCTCATGGATGCTTCTTGGTGTCTCTTCGGAGCGTTCTCGGGGGCTACTGTGTTTTGGGGGGCTCCTGGGGGCCTCCTGGGGTCGCCTTGGATGCCTCTTGGGGCTCTCTTGGCGCCTCTTGTGGGCTTCTTGGACCCTTGGGGGCCGTTTGGGGCAGCCTGGACGCCTGTTGAGGCCCAGGGCTCGAAATGCCCGTTCGGCTTCCTCCTTCTGGGCCCCTTTTTGGGGCCGTCCTGGGGCTCTTTCTGTCCGTCTTGGAGGCCTCTGGGGCCGTCTTGGGACCCTTTTGGACCGTGGTGGACTCTTAGGCCGTCTTGGAGCGATCTTCGGAGCTTCGTGGGACATCTTGGTGAGAACCCTGGAAACCTTCAAAAACCAATGACAAATCTTTTAATTTTGCCTCTAGGGGATTTCTTGGGAGTGGTATTAGACGCATCTTTGGACGTCTTGGAGGCGGCCGAAGCCGTCTGGAGGCTATCGTCGGCATCTTGGAACGACTTCCAGTGACTCGGGGCCCTATTGGACCGCCTTGGGGGCCTTTTGAGACGCTCTTGAAGGCCCTGAAGGCAGCCCCCAGAAGTTCCGGCATCCGTGACAGGGACCGGCTGGGATTTGCACGGGATGCTTTTCGTCTGGGGACCCTTCACGGTTGGTTTTGAAAGTATCTTTCTTTCCGCTCGCTTTTTGCTGTCGAGCCTCGCCTCTCCACGCCGCGCCTCTCTTCCCGCCGCCGGGCGGATCCCAGCGTTGGGGGGGTGAAAGAGGGGTGCCCAAATTCACGCCGCTTTCCAGGGAGGCACAGGGCTTGAGAGGACGAAGGAAGCAAGGTGTGGCCAGAGAAGGTGAAGGGAGATGTGTCGGGAGGTGGGCGCGCTGGCGAGGGCTGGAGGGGGAATCAATTTTTAGTATCTCCAGAAGCATGGTCCCAGCGCCACTGGTCCAGCCGTTGCTTGGGCTTGACTCGTTTGCATGGGTACGCCAGCGGAGGCCGAGTCCGCGGAGAGGCATGTGCGCAACTTCGTGCGCGACCCCCACGCCACGGACTGGGCACCAAGATGCATGTGTCCGCACGATTGTCTTATCACGGATGATTTGAAAGCGGTGGTTGAAAAGGTGGAGAATGCAGAGGTTAGGAGACGTAGCGCCTCACCTGCCCAATGATTTCATTCCTTTTCTCCCGCCATCACCACCACCACTATCATCATCAGCATCACCACCATCATCATCATCATCATCATCATCATCATCATCATCATCATCATCATCATCATCATCATCATCACCGTTATCATCACCATCATCATGACCACCACCAGCATCATCATCATCATCATCACCACCACCATCTTCACCATCATATCATCATCATCACCACCATCGTCACCATTGTCACCATCAGCATCATCATCATCATCATCATCATCATCATCATTTTCATAATTATCCGTAGCCATTTTGGCTCATGTGAAACCCCTTGAAGCTAAGGTGACAGCGAATCATTGATTCGCTTGGCCTGTCCGTTGCATGGCTCAGGCTGGCTTTGCTTGCGTACTGCCTGCTTGACCCCTCCTCGGTCAGATCGGTCCTCGCCGCGATGCCAGAGGCCGACGTGGCCGCTCATGTGAAGGGTTTGATTGCTCAGGTGGAGATGCTAGTCAAAGGAATGCTCGAGCTCAAGGATGGCCAGAAGGCGCAGGCGAAGGCTCTTGAGGGCCACACGACTCTCCTTGCCCAGCTCAGTGCGCAATTCTCTGAGTTGGGTCTTGTCATGAAGTCAGTTCAGCAGGAGATTGCAGCAGTGCAGAAGAAATTGGAGGAGAATGACCGTCTCTTGGCTGAGCTCCGTCGTGATGTAGGCAGTGGTGGAAGTTTGAATCGTGATGAGTATGAGGGCTCTGCTCCAGATCGTATGACAACTCGTTTTGTGGGTGGTACTTCGATTATGTCCAGAACTCCCCAGAGTTCCTTGGAGGCAAACCAGTTCAAAGCAATCGTGGTCGGTTTCAAGGATGAGTTTGTAAGAAGATTCTTGAGAAGGCAGGTGATGCGATTCTCTCCTCTTGTGCGGCCGCCGAGGTCCAGCAGCAGATGAAGGTCACTCCCCATAGTTTTGCGAAGAAGGTGGTTTTTGCCTTTGCCTCGGTGTCGGGCGTCCAGGAAACTTTCGGATTCTTTGGGACGAACTCCCCCGACGGCTTTGGTTTCGGCACCCCTCGCGGTCAGGTGTTGCTCTGTCTGAAGCCCCTCAGAGATCCGGCCGCCAATGTGCAGTTTAATGTCGTCGGTGGGATCGGGGAGCTTCTCGAACCTCTCATCGACCTCGAGCGGGGCCTTCGTTCCAGTCCGCATATATATATATATATATATATATATATATATATATATTATATGTATGTATGTATGTATATATATATATATATATAGGTATGAATATATATATATGTGTGATTATATATGGAAAACGAGAAGACAGGTGCGACCCGCCAGGTCGATAAGCCAAGCGTTGATGCCTCGAAGCCGCAAGTCGCTTCGTTTCCGCGGGCGTTCAAGGCCCTGAAGGTCGAGGAATCGAAACCGCGGGAGATTGTGGATAAGGTATTCGAAGAGTTGCGTCTTTAGCGACATGGTAGCAGCAGACTCGCCAACAGCAACGCCTGAGCGAGAGGGTACCATCACTCACGAGATCGCTTCTCTCTTGAGTGCAGGAGATTATGTAGAGGCACAGCGCAGACTGAGGGGGATTAGTCAGAACTCAGTCCTTCCATTCTTGCCTGCAAAATCGGTGTCTGTGGTGACGTGGAACTCCGGGGGGGTATTCGGCAGCGTCTCCAGTATGCGGCATCGGTCTTGTCAGCGTTGGAAGCTTTTGTTTGGTTTTCTCGGGCGTTGCCAGATCGCGTGCGTCCATGAATCTCACTGCCATGGGGGGGGGGCCTGGTCTGTCTGCAGAAGGAATTCCCCAAGCGTCGTTTCTTCTTCAACCCGCGCCCGCTGAACACTCCTGGTCATGGGGTCCAGTTGTGTACTCAGAAGCGTGTTGCTGGGTGTTTCGCCGATTTCCACAATGGAGCGGTGGTTCCTGGAGAGATATCTTATGTCCTGGGCCGGGGTTCCTCTCGGGATCCTTGGTTGCGGTGGTCCACTTGCCGAGCGTGGATGCCGGCGTCGGTCTCTTTCGTTGTCAGTTGATCCATCAGCAGTCGACGCTCCTCTCTGCCTCTTTTGCCGCGAATCTTATCCTCGGGGACTTCAACTTTGTGTTCAGCGATGAGGGGCGCTTGCAGATTCAGTCGGGCACCTCGCTCGTGGGGGCGCGGCCCGCGCTAGGGAGTGGAATCGGTGCTTTGGGTCGTTCACAGAACTGTGCCAGCCTCTTGATACTCGTCGGGCTTGCCAGGGGACGCAGATCGTGGGGGCCGCTCGGTTGGATCGGTTCTACATCAGTGCGCGCCCGTTTGTCTTGAATGATTCCGTGATCACTGGTTCTACTATCGGTATGCCTACCAACCTTAAGAATCCTTCGGACCATGTGCCCGTCGTTGCCGCGATTGCCCCTGAGCCTCGACCTGGCCCTGGGCCGCCCCGATCCCTGCCTTGATCCCTCGAACATCTGAGTGCCAGTCTATGCTGGCTGAAAGGCTTGCGGAGGTTGACATCCGTCTAGATTTTGGAAAGTCTTGCGATGCAGAGAGGCCGCTACGACCCACGAATTTCTTCACTGGAGTGTGTCGGCTCTTCGTGCGTTTCGAGCTGGTCTTTCATCTCACTATCTTCTTGTCCGAGCTGTGCGTGCTTGCCCCGCTCTCTCTGACTTCTTTGATGTTGACGCGTGCGCTCTGTTGGACGATGCGGGCCTCTTCGCACTCATTGCTTCGTTTTACAGCGTTCTCTTGGATGCTGAAGACATCGCGATTGAGCAGGCCACCTCAATCCCCAAGCATGAGTAGCGGCGACGGCGTGCGCGTGTGCAGCGTGATCGAGAACGTTGGTGCTCATTGAACCCCACTTTCCGCCTTGGTAGTATTCTACATGAGCACGCTGGTGTTCCTTGTGCGTCGCTTGAGCACGAAGGGCATGAGCTTGCGTGTCATTGGGGTGATGTGTTGGCTACAGTCGCACCCGATCGCTCTCTCTGGGACTTCCTGGGGTCGTTCATTCAGAAGGCTTCGGACGTCTACCCTGGCCTGGAGTGGATCCTTGATCAAGAAGCTCTTGCTGCTGTGGTGAATGCCGCGGGGGATTCTGTCTGGGTGTCGATGGGGTGCCGTGTAGCTGCTGGAAGATTCCAGGGGCTCACTAGAAGCTTTACTTGTTTTATCGGCGTCGCATCGCTCGTCCGGATGAACCCCGCCCTGCCAACTTCCATCGGCTGCTCATGGTCTGCCTTGCCAAAGGGGATTACCCCGCTGACGCATCGGCGGTGCCCGCTAGAAAACCATCCATTACTCGTCCGCTCTCCATGGGTTGCACGGACTGCAAGTTGGCCACCTTTGCTATTGCTCGGCCTCTCTCTGCTGGGTCAGCGCCCTATCTTAGACAGTCAGACTGGTGGTGTCTCGGGTCGCTCGATATCGGATCACATCATCGAGTAAGAAGGATATTAGGTAGGCGTACACCTTGAGGGGCAAGACGGAGCAGCGCAGCCAGCTCCTTACCGACTGTCGCGCCGCTTGTCCTCAGTAAGACGTGTATTCCGAGGTGGGCCGTGACATTCTTTTCAAACCTATATGAGGATAACGCTGCCCTGGTCCACTTCTGCGGTGTCGTGTTGGCCCAGTTCTCGTTTGGGCGCGGCGTTCGCCAGGGGTGCCCTGCATCGATGATCCTGTCTGCCCTCTCCCTTGACCCAATGTGTCGTTGGCTGAGCGCCGCGAGTCCCATAGGTTTCAGGCTTCCAGGATATGCCGATGACTTGAGGTTCTGGCTGGCCAGTATCTTTACCGACTTCTCTCCGCTCCTTGATGATCTCTGTCTTCTAGCTGGGGCTATCGGGCTTGAGTTGCATTTTGGGAACTGCATTTTTCTAGTGGTCTGCCCGCAACAAGTCCAGAATTTCCTTCAGTTGCTTCTATCTCTGGGACGAGGCTGCGAACGTTTCTCTGTGGTCACGTAGTGCAGGCGCCTTGGCGTGGGCCCCGATGCTCGCCTCCACTCGTGTCCCGCGCAGCTGGGTGCATTCTTCCGCCGAGTCTGCAAAGTCCGTATGGTGGGTGCTGGGCTAGCTGAGTCCATTGTTGCCCACAAATTTCGGGCTTTCTCAGTGCTGGGCTATGTTTTGCAGTTTCATAGGCCGACCCCCCCCCCAACTGCTGCAGATCTTCAGATCCTTCATGCTGGACCGAGGTGCAGTTTCACTGAAGGAATGATGAAGTTTCTCAAGCGTGCAGGGTGCGACGCTCAATGTATGGCTCTGTCCCGTGTATCCCAAGCTGCAGCGTTCTGAACAGCACAGGACTCAGGGGCATGGAGTCAGTGCCAGAGGTGTCTAGGCGGGACTGTGCAGGACTCCAATGGCTTGCATCCGTCTCGGCTGTCTCGTGGTTGGTTCGCTAACTCATTCCTGTCGTATGTGGCCGAGAACTATGCCGAGCATCTCCCTCGGGCTCGAACGAGTAACCCAACGGCGCCCTACTTGGTCTCCCAAGCGAAGTTGGCGTCGTCTCTCCTCGCAGGAGTTGGCCCCGACCCTCTTCGAGACGACATCGAGCGACGTGTTCTGAAGTGGATGCCCTTCCCCTCGCCTGCCTCTGCTTGGTTCTCTCCTTTTGCTAGACGTATGCGCGCGGTCTTTAATGCAGTTTTGGTGTTTTTAGTGGTCGCTGTCCTGCGGGTTCTCTGTCGGGGACTTTGGGCGCCGGCCCGTTTTCGCGCCCAGCCAAAACCCCTCGCTCTCGGTTGCCTGGGGGCCGCAGATGACCAGTGCCACTACCTGCGCTGCCCGAAAGTCCTGGAGCTCTTTTCGTCTTGGGCCGCTCCCCTATTCCCGTTTGGTTTCGCCGACCCGTTCCCAGTTCTCTGCTGTGTAGACGGCCGAGCGCCCG